AATGAATGAAAAACAATGAAATAGTAAAATATTACACAACGTGGGGGAGCCTTGAAAACATTATGACAAGTAAAATATCTCAGTGTCTAAAGAGCAAATACAAAATGATTATGCATTTTGTATGTGAGAACAGTCTAGAACAAGGGGTGCATTGCCAGGAGGGCTTGGGTAGAAGGGAGTGGTGTAGAATATATGCAACCATGAATTAAAAAAATAAAATAAATGTATCTCTAAGCAGTGTATCATAGCACTGGTCTGTGCATTGCTGTACAGAGGTAAATTGTGGTTGCTGTGATACTAAACACTGTGACACTGATGTGCCAAATGAGATAATGGTTATCCATGGTGGACAGTGTTTGGTGGAGCTTCCCGATTAAAACAAGCTTGGAAGCAGGAATGGCATCCACTTCCAAAATGGTTTGCCTCTGGAAATCCTTTGAACTTGGAGAAATGACCAAAGTTATTTAAGTGTTCAGGTCTTTTGTTCATAGGGTTGCTATGAGTCGTCTGCAACTTGATAACACTTAACAACAATAACAACAACAATCAGTGTATATCTTAATATCCTAGTGAAAGAGTTTTTGAGCCCTCTTGGTGGTGGGGAATGCTTTAATGTTTTAACATATCTCTTTAAGTTTTTGGATTTGTCTCTGTATTTTACTGATAAATACCTGGCATTTAGTGGCCTTTAATGAAAGCCACTGTTCAGCCTTCCATTAGTTACCCAAACAATTAAAATCATTGTTCCTAGACTTTGATGCATGCTCTCACATTAAGAGGTGGAATGCAGCTTCAGATTCCATAAAGTGGTAGTAAAATTTATTTCCTTCCTAATAATATTCATTTAATCATAATTTTTTTTTCTGCCAGAATATAACATTTAAAACTTCTCAGAGGTAAGATCTTCTTTGTTATAGGTTATGGTTCATGGTTCATCTCTTATCCCTATTGCACTTTGCATGTATATGTGCTTAATAACTATCCAGATGGAGAACCATGGAAGATCATTGTGGACTATTGAAGTGACAGGTCTTCATAGTGTGGGTCTGTGCCATGCATTTCAAGATACTTACTCTCTGGTCCCTGCCTGCTCAATACCTGTAGCACTCTTATCAGTTAAATAACTAAAGCTCCCTTCTCCAATTCCAGAAGGATTCTGAAAAGATGAAGAGGATTAGCACTATTTTGTTGAGAACGGCCTCAGATATGTCGTGAAGACATGATGAGGATGGCACAGGATAAGACAGGGTTCAGATGTCTTGTTCGCAGGGTCACTATGAATCATCTTCAATTTGATGGCACATAACAACAACAACATAGGACTATAAACTTCAAAGGGGTTGGAGTCTCTGAGTTGTGCAAATCATTAATGCACTTGGCTGTTGACTACAAGTTTCAAAGTTCAAATTCACCCAGTGGCTTCTTGAAAGGACAGACCTGACTGTGTATGTCTGCAGAAAATCAACAATGAAAGCCCCAGTTCTAGTCTGACATCGTGGGCTCACCATGAGTCATGGGCAGCTCAACAGCAACTGGTTAAGTACCTGTGCTGAAGGTAATTAAAGAGTGACTTGTGTCCCATCAAGTCAGAATTGACTCATAGCTGACCCTCCAAGTCTCTCCTTGGAGGCTAGGATTTTGAAGCTCTGCCTTATTTACTTTGGGCATGTGGCCAGGAGAGCTCAATCCTTGGAGAAGGACATCATGCTCAGAAGGGTGGACAGACAGTGCAGGAGAGGAAGCCCCGGATGAGATTGATACAGTGACTAGGGCAATGGGGGTTATTGTATCAGAATTAGTGAGACCAGTTTAGGACAGGGGAGGGTTCAGAGCTGCTGTACATAGGGTCACTATGCATCACAGACAACTTAATGGCACATGACAACAATAACATTATGACAGGTCTGGAAGCAGGAGTGGCATCCACTTCCTAAATAACACTCATCTGGAAACTCTACGAAGTTTGATAAATACTGATAGTTGTAGAGGGGCTTCAGGCCTTTTGTTCATAGGGTCGCTATGAGTTGTGCTCAACTCAAAGGCAATCAACAACAACATTTTGTACAGGAGGAGCAGGATTTTTAAACTTAGAGAAAAATTTAGAGAAATGGGAATACAAAAATAGTTACGAGAAGAAGGAAGAATGAGTGTATCCTGTGTTGACTGACAAAGTAGAGTGTGTTGGAAGATAATAGAAATAAAGTTGGAAAAATAGAGTGGAGTTTGAAGGATGTCTGGGAGGGGGGAAGATGGCCTTTCACGTCCTGATATATCCTCAGATTACTTGCCAAATTAATTTCTAAAACATTACCCTTTCCAATGGTCCCCTTAATATTAGCTGCTAGTCTTTACACTTCTGCTCAAGGGATTTTATCTCTTTCTGCCCATCCAAATTTATCTCTTAACTGCTACTAAAATTTAATTAGGTATGGCTAGCTGGCTGATCAGGCTGATACCTCTCCCTCCTTCCTTGTCAGAATGTTCATATGCCCACTGCATGCTTTTGTTAGTATTATCTTTTACAAAATCCATTCTAATTCTGCCTCAGTAACTATCTCTTATTCATTAGAGTCTTATTTCCCTATGAAACTGGCCCACACCACCCTGACATTTCTTTTGACTTCCTTATAACGTTTCTCGTTTGTGCCACAGTATTCACCACAAAATTGTACATGGTTTTTCATGCTTTTCTTTCCTCCATATAATTTTTATTCTCACAAAGAACTATGTAAGATTTAAAAGAAAATGTACTTTACAATTAATTTTAAGCCCCCAAAGCAACCCCACCCCCTATTTTCTGATTTAGGCATTGTCTTTAATTGTTTGATATCATATTAGATATTTAATACCCTCAAAACTGAAATTCTGTATTTGTATATCACAGACTGTTCATATTGTGGCATTCCCATGTTTCTTAGAGAGCCCTGGTGGTGTGGACCATAAAGTTGTGCCACTGCCTTAACAGCTTGGATCCCCCCAGCTGCTCCAGCTCCTCCTGTGCAGTTTATAGCTCCCCCCCCCCAAATACCAAGTGGAGGGTCATCTGTGAGTCTGTTCCTGGTCAACAGCAGAGCTGAATGTTTCTTATATTTTAATTCTGTTTCTGTTTCAGTTACTAGATTTAATTTCTTCTTTAGAGAACATGATATATGCATTTATCTTCGTTGTTGTTGTCATTGAGTTGTCTGCAACACGTAGCAACTCTCTGTACTGTAACTATGAAGCCTGCCCTATCCTCAGCTAGTCTGTCTCCAATACACCTACCTACCCCATTACCCCAGTTACTGTGTCAATCCATCTCATCTGGGGTCTTCCTCTCTCATGCTGTCCCTCCACCCTTCCAAGCATAATGTCCTTCTCCAAGGACTAGTCTCTTCTGGCTACATGCCTTAAGTATGTGAAACCCTAGCTTCCAAGGAGCAGCTTGATTTCTCCTTCTCCAAGACAGACCTGCTTGTTCTCTTGGGAGTCCAAGGTATGTTCTGTACTCTTCTCCAGCACCACAAATCAAAGGTGTTGATTTTAACTCCAATTTTTTGTCATTGTCCAGCTCTCTGATGCATAGCAATTCATTGTAAAGAACATGGCCTGGGTCAGGTGCACCTTAGTCTCTAGACTGACATCATTGGTCTTTAGCACTTTTGAGAGGGCTCTAAGAGCAGATTTCCCTAATGCAATCAATCTTTTGATTTCCTGGGTGCTGGGGCCAAGAGTGTTGATTGTGGAGCCAAGCAAGCAGAAATTGTTAATAACCTCAATCTCTTCTCCATCTATCATGGTGCTGTAAATGTATTCTCCCACGATACCTCACAGAGTGCCTTGCTTTTAATAACTGCATAAATTTGTTTGAATTTGATTGGTTTTTATTTGCTTTATCAATTTGCCTTCATTTTAAATCTTGTTCAGGCTATTATTTAAAGCTCTGAACAACAGACGGGACCAATAGTGTATTAGCAGTCAGGAATAATTATGGGATTCTGTTAGCATAACCCACAGTGGTTATGCTGCTAACCAAAAGGCCACTTTTGACAGTAGTTCAAAATCTACCAGCCGTCCTGCCAAAGAAGGTTGGGCAGCCTCCTCCCTTTATTCTCAGGTACTGGATGGAGGGTCACACTGAGTTGGAATCCATTCAGTGACAGTCAGTTGAGTTTTGTAGTCCCATCTCACCCCTTGATGAGCCCATCTTTTTATCTAAGTTGTTGTGTGCTGTCCAGTTGGAACTGACCCATGGTTAACGTATTTTCAGAAGCCGTAAAGGAGATTACCCATCCATCTCCTGTGGAGCGGCTCATGCCTTTGAGCTTGCAGCACAGTCTCTAAATAAAAGTAGTCCAGTCATAATTATTGGGCAATATTGATTTTAAGTTGCTTATTTGAGAAAAAGCAAATACTTGAATCCTTTGTTGCTTTCCAACTTTTCTTTATTCTTTCTCTTATTCTTTGTTAAGATGAAATCTTATCCCATCTCTAACTATATTAATTAGATACACTTCCTATTTTTGGTTGAAGAGAGAAAATAAAGGTGGATGAAAGCAATCTTGAGCCCTGTTTTCTTCATACTCTTTCCTTCTCACCCCCATCCAGAGATAACAGTTTGAAAATAAATGTAACTCATCTAATATTGTTAAAAAGCTTTTTAATAGCTATTGTTTTATGATACTTCTTTAGTTTAATTTCTGTAAAGCGAACATTTTAAAAAGTGATTTTTTTAAGTACAAAAAAAATGCTCTAGTATAAATTCCTTGTTTCAGCAATAAAAGAGTTAACCTAGTAAGCAGTAGAGATGGAGATACTGCATGGGGATAGTGCTTTCTGTCTCTGTCATTTGTGGTCTAAGAAAAGGGGGTGGTGTTCTGCATTTGAAAGGACTTTAATGAATGCTGTCAGTGTTTGTGAGAGCTAATGGTCAGTATGGGAAAGGAGAGAGGGGAAAGTGGTCTGGCTGCTTCAGGATAGGTGGAGGAGAGTTTGCTCTGATTGAACGGAATGTTCCACTGTGCTCCAGCCTTATTCATTATCCTTTGTTCTTTAGAGTGTGATATACTGCCTTAAAAGTAGATGTAGAGAGATATATATATGTGAATGTGATTTCTTTTCTTTTAAATCTGTTTGTTGTGTACAGCAGGGCAAACACTTCTCTTGTCTTGGTTGGATGCACAGATCTGTGTGCAGTGCTTTCTACCCGTTGCCTAGACGATCACTTGGTTTCTCTGAGGATGTCTGGTTCTCGTAAAGAGTTTGATGTGAAGCAGATTTTGAAAATCAGATGGAGGTGGTTTGGCCATCAAGCATCTTCTCCTAATTCAGCAGTTGACAGCCAGCAGGGAGAATTTTGGAATCGAGGACAGACTGGAGCAAACGGAGGGAGAAAGTTTTTAGACCCATGTAGCCTGCAATTGCCTTTGGCTTCAATTGGTTATCGAAGGTCCAGCCAACTGGATTTTCAGAATTCACCTTCTTGGCCAATGGCATCCACCTCTGAAGTCCCTGCATTTGAATTTACGGCAGAAGATTGTGGCGGTGCACACTGGCTGGATAGACCAGAAGTGGAGGATGGCACTAGTGAAGAAGAAAATGAATCTGATTCCAGTTCATGCAGGTCGATTATTTTCTTACTGTTAGAAATGGGATGGGGGGGGGGGGTGTACTCTGTAAGACATTTTAAACTAATGTATTATTTATCCCTTAAACTCTATCATTATATATAGCTATATCCATTTGTATACATGCACTTACAATACCTTGGTATGAACATGTGATACTTTTGATAGGATTTTTAAAGAATGTACTATTAATCATGTAAAATGATAAAGACCACAGATAGAATTAATTTTTAGGTACTTTGTGTTCCATATATAGGTCTGACTTTACTTTAAAAATAATTTATAGTAGCAATTTTATACATCACTGTCTTAGGTTTGTCTCATGCATTTATCTTCTGTAGTCATAGCTAAACTATAGAAGGCTTTTCTGTAGTATAAAATGTTATGATATTTTAGCTCACAACAAATTTTTATTTTCATGAAAATTAAAGGTCTTAAAAGGAGATGCACATTGTAGTTGTCAGCATTTTTTGACACTATTGTCATAGACAAGAATATTTTTCTGTGGTTCTTTCTCTTTGTCCTGTGTTGCGGCTCTCCTCACTCATACAGAGAATACAGTAACGTGTCTCTTGCTACGATGACAGCTCAGCTACTAATCTGTGGTCTTTTCATCAGCACTGAAATCTGTGCTCTTTAGGCAAATGAAAGGCATTCCTTCAGGAATGTCCAAAGGAACAGAGTGGGGTCAGATGTAGTCACATGGTAAAAGGGAGTAAGAAGAGGAAATTACTTAGAATGCTCTAAAAGAAAAATAATTGGTAATTTCATAATGACTTTTTCCATCTTTGCCCTTAGAATCTGGCATTATCTTTGAATCCTATTTTCTTTTTAAACTACTATAACATGTTATGTAGGCAGTTAAGAGTATGAAAGTCACCTTTCTGATCTTCACTTGAAAATATTCTCTCAATACTTGAATGTATAAGTAACTTGTCTAGTTTGATTACTGGATCCTTTTTCTTTTTAAATTTTTTTGCGGGTTTTGATAATATTTGCAATTTTTAAGTTGTATGTTAGTCATATAGGCATCATGATGAAATGAAACAAAATGAGTTTATATATTCAAATATCTCTTACTTGGGCATATTTATCACCTTTTCCTCTTTCAGCCTTCAGACCATAGAATTCGGAACTATGATATTGGAATGATAATTAATGTAAGCCAATGATCTGTAATTATTTGCATAAGGGAGAGAGAATATATTTAAAGCAGGGTATAAGAGGTAAAGAGTATATTTAATTTGAACATTTTTAACAAATTGATTCATTATTTGGTATTGTCTTAAGGGAATAGAAGCCACTAATAATTTTAATTGAAAAATCAATTGGGTTAATGTGGTTTCACTGTTTTGTGTTTTATTTGGAAACTTGTTGCCACAAAGAGTAATTTATAAGATATCCATGGATTAGCCTTTTATGAAATACCAAACCATGTTTCCACTTAACAAACAGTATAGTGTATCAAGAATATTTTAATATACCTTCCCAAAATTAGAAAAGACAAAACATTCATTTTCCAGCACAGTTCTGAAAATCATAACATGTATCTATTATTTAGAGAGATTGCATCTTTACTGTAAAATCTATACAGGTATAATGTTGGAAAGAATTTTCACTAAAATTTTACTTTTTTCAACAAAGATAGTTTGCATGACTAGTGTTTAAAACCTAAGCTCCAAGCGTTCAAGGGAGTTCTGGCTCATAGCAAGTAACCCTATAGGACAGAGTAGAAGAACTGCCTCTAAAGGCTTCCAAGCCTATAATCTCTGTGAAAGCAGATTGCCATATCTTTTTCCCATGGAGCCACTGGTGGGTTTGAACAACTGACCTTTCAATTAGGAGCTGAGTACTTAACCACAGCATCACCAATGATTACTGAAATGAAATTTATTCTTTAATGTCCATACTGTAACATCTTAGTAAAGAAATTCTCTTTGTTTATTATAAAAGAAAAAAGTGCTTGTTTCTTCTCCTCTACGAGATTTTTATGTGCATTCTTTAAGACTCTAATTGATCCTTTTGTTTATAAGAAATCTTAAAATAATTTTTAAAGCCTAGAGCCAATGTAACAAGCTCTGGTAGCATAATCCATAGATGTGTTACACTACTAGCCGAAAGGTCAGGTGTCTCTAGCCATTCAGGTACCAGCAGATCTGAGGGAAAGATGGGCGGTCTCTTACTCTTAATATTTACCACCTCAGCAACCCGATAGAGGATTGCTACGAGTTGAAACTGACTCAGTGTCAGTGAGTTGAGAATATAGGTAGTTGGATTGTGGGGGATATTTTTTTTTATACTAATCAAGCAACTGATAAAAAGTAAGGAATAAGACCCAAGTAACTGATTCACATCTGTAGTAACCAAAGCATTCCTAAAATAGTAATATCTCAAAACCCAAATGCATTGAAAGGCAGTAACTCTTGATACTTAATTATGTCATTTAATATTCCAAGTGACTTGAAATTTTTATCTTAATGTCTTGTGCCAAAAGACAAAAGCTTGCATTTTAGATTTTAGAAATGTCATTTGTGTGTACACTTTTCCTTCTTGGTTTTTCCCCTAAATAGATCTAATTCTCCCAACTTCAGACCTCTGACTCTTGAGCCTTTGAGCTCTGTCCCCAAATGCCTTTATTTGCCCTCAGCATTATGGTTAAGTGAGCAGTCTCTTGGTAGTTGCCCTTCTATTGTAAACAAGTCAGAGTTTGTCACTGTTAATGTCAAAGGAAGTTACACTGACGTGCATCAAATTTTTTTACTATGATTTGGAAACAGTTCTTTTTCTTCTATATTACTTTGAAATAAAAAGTATCTTATTTGAGTGTAATCTAATGTGATATCTTAAAATATCAGAGGGATGAGCATGTAAATGTAACATACTTAGAACTTCTTACTTAAGCAAGCACAGTATTTACATAGTCTGAGAATTTAAACAGAACCAACTAGTGAGTTATTGCAGAAGGAGAGGACTGCTGAGTGGTTTTGCATACTCAGAAATGCAGTGCTCACAATCTATCTGGACAATTTAAAGCAGGAGATAAGAGGCATCATATGTTGGTAATATGTCTCTTCGTTTGCATTGCAGCTTGGGGAAATGTCTGCCTGAGGCTCAGACTTAGGGTCATTTCGGCTGCTACTCAGCCAAGTGATATAAAAGTTTCTCTTTTCACTTTGATCTGAACTCTGTAGCCTAGCCATCTAGCTCCATAGGAGTCATCTGAATCACTTCGTATACAAATACAAAACTTGTTTTAATTCCACCATGAAGAATTTTAATTTTAGACCTTTTAATTAGTAATGGATTCCCAAAGACTTTAATTCTTGGTACAGTCTTATAGGGCCAGCCAGTTGACTAGTTTAAATGGCCACCATGTGTCAATAGCTTAAGTGAAATTTAAATACAGTTGTACTCCTCCTGATTTACCAGTGATGAAATGATGTAATTTTTTACATAGTTTTAATTGGGAAATTTTGTCATTTCAACTTTTTTTTTTTCATTTCAACTTTTTTCTATATAGTTAGACTTTGTATTTTGTATATCAGGCTACTAGCAATTTTTAAAATAAATGTGTTTGTAATATTACTACATTTTATAAATACTAAAAAATAATACAGCTAGTACTTCTCACCTAAACTCAAACTTGCTGCCTTTGATTTATGGTATTAGAAAATTATAGAATATGCTTTTGACAGCCAAGAGAACAAACAAATCTGCCTTAGAAGAGGCAAAGACAAGAGTGTCCCATAGGAGCAAAAATGGAACAACTTTGTCCCCTCTGCTGTGGAAATCTTGTCAGGAGGGACTAGTCCTAGGAAGGAGACATCATATATGCAAAGATGGAGGGGCAGGAGAGGAGAGAAAGGCTTTCAATGAGGTGAACCAACATGGTGACTGAAACAGTAGGCTTACATACAATGGAGGTTGTGAGGATGGCACAAGGTTAGGTGAGATTTTGATCTGTTGTATGCAGGGTCACTCTAAGTCTGAGTTGACATTATGACACCTAACAAGTAATAGGTCAGTAACCTTTATCTTCCAAACACTGTTCTAAGTCCTTCACTATTATTAACACAATTTATTCTTCTCTCTCCCTTCCTCTCTCTCTCCCTTTCTCTCTCTCTCTCATACACACACAGAGTAATTGAGGTAAACAAAATAATAGCAATATTATTCTAATTTTACACATGAGACAAATTTGTCATGGACAGGCTAAGTAATTTGCTCGAGGTTGGGAAGTGAAATGATGCATTTTAAAATGACATCTTTTTATAAATTGGTTTCCATTGAATCATTCATGTACATTTTGAAAATAGACTTTATATTTAGAACAGCCTTAAATTTGCAGAAAAATCAAGATGATAGTATAGAGTTTTAAAATAATCACACTCAGTTTTCCCTAGTACTAAAAAAGACGGCACTTAATAACAACATCTTACATTATTAGTATGGTGCAATTATAACAATTAAATGAGCAAGTATTGGTCCAATTCAGAGAACCAGAGTTCATACTTTAATCAGACTTCCATAGTTCCTAATGCTATTTTTTCTGTTCCAAGATCCTGTCCAGGGTACCATATTGCATTGAGTCATCATGTTTCTTTAGATTCTTCTCAGTCTCAAACTTTCCTTGTTTCTAACGACCTTGACACCTTGGGGAGTACTGTTCAGGTGTTCGCCTGATGTTTTCCTCATATTTAGATTGGAGCTTGGGTTTTGGATTAAAGGTCATGGAGGCAAATGTTCTTTTCCTCACTTTAAATCCAAGGTACATACGTATCATTAACATGTCTTAATCACTGTTGATGTTAACTTTGACAATTGAAAATCACTGTATTTTTAATCTAAACAACTAAGATCTAGATTTCATAATAATGCACTTACCTTATGTTTTCTGAATAGGGATGTGGTTATTTGATCAGGGAGCTCTGGTGGGTTTGTGAGTAAGGAGTTGTATTGCCAACCCAAAGGCATGAGGTTTGAAACCACTAGTTTT